ATGAGCCAAGAAAAATCTATAGTTTTAAACACATATAAATAAAAGTAAAAGAATGAAAGATGTTTAATCTCACTCATAACATGAGATACACAAATTAAAATTACCGTTTTTTATCAATTGCACATTGCCAAAAGTTAAAAAGTATGAGAGCACATTTCGTCAGTGAGGCTGTAGAGAAACAGGCACTAACTTATGACATGAGGGGGAACTGACATAACCCATTATATAGGGGAATTTGACAATATTTAACAGAACTGCATGTTTACCTTGTCACTTTGAAATCTTGCTTCTAAGAATTTATCCTGAAGATACACCTTTAACAATAACAAAATACCTGTGCACAAGATTACTCATTGTAGTCCTGTTGCAGAATACTGGAAACAACTTAAATACCCATACAAAGGGGTATGGCTGAATGAACTATCACACACACAAATGAAGTACTATGCAGCTATAAAAAATGAACAAGATCTCTGAACCGATAGTGATTTCCAGGATATATCTTAGGCGAAAAAAGGAAAGTACAAAAGAGTAACCTAGAGTATGTTACCATTTGTGTAAGAAAAAGGAGGGCAGGGATAAAAACAACAACAACCACAGATATATCTGTTTATTTGTGTAAATAGAAACACCAAAAGGGTAAACGAGAAACTCACTGGTTACCTACAGAGTGCAGATAGGAATGGGGTGGGAAGGATGGGGCTGAAATCGAGGTAGACTGGAGTGGACAGGATACTACTGTTCTGAAGATATCTTTCTGACTTTTGACTTTTAGAACCACGTTAATACTTAAATATTAAGTATTTAAGTATTATACAGGTATAATACTTAAATATTTGGTAAATGCATACCAAAAAAAAGGAAGAATGGAGAAAAAACAAAAATGGAATATAATATGACACAAATGAACACAACTGTTATTTCAAATGAATAACTGAACCAACTGAAGAGGGCGAGTAGAAGAACTAATATAACTAATTTTTGAACACAAGCTAAGGACAAAAAGAATTATACCCATCTCTAGTTACTAAGTTTTTTTGTTTTTGTTTTGCAGTGGTATGAATTAGCAATTCAGAAATTCCTTTCTGTGGTTTCTAGGACTAAGTAAATATATTGTGGTTAGTGGGAATTAAGTTTCTTAATATTGGGAAAAGGAATTACAGATATAAAAATGGGGAAGGTTAGAATGAACTCCATAGTACTGGGCTACAATGGGAGGTATGAGCATGGATTCAGTTAAAAATACACACACACACACAAACACACACACACACTCTATAGCTATTGAAATGGACATAATGTGGCATGTGTACTTCTAGCTCTGTTTATTAAGAGGGCATAAACACAATGATATCTCAATAGCAAAAAGCACATTTAATGACCAGATCTTGGTTTCTAAAAACTAGTCTTTGTTAAAAGAAATTTCTCCTTGGAGAAATAGTTACTTTCAAGGCTGGAGCTAAGAAAATACAAGATAAGCCTGGAAGATCTAGTTGTGCTAAAAACAAGAATTAGTTCTTTAAAAAATGATAGAGTCACATCTATCACTGGATCGAAGGGGTTCCCATTGGCCAAATCTAGGACAATCTGAACATCAAAATAAGTAGACAGGATAATGTAATGCTGGATGAATCCTGGACCAGAAAAACAAATTTAAATTTTGTTATAAAGGAAATTATTAGGACAATTATGAGAATTTGAATAAAGTCTTTAGACAAATAATTTATTGATTTTGATGGCTATGTAGGAGAATGTCCTTACTTTCAAAAAAATGCTCTTTAAAGTATTTAGAGGTAAAGGAATATCATAGTTGCAAATTATTCTCAAACATTTCAGGAAAGAAATAGTATGTATATTTACAGAGAGTTCCAGAATGATATGTATGTATGGCAAATTGTTAACATTTGAGGGATATGAGTGAAAGGTATATGAAAATCTTTGTATTATTCTTGCAACTTTTTTATAAGTCTGGAATGACTTCAAAATAAAAAGTTTAAAAAGAAAATGGAGAAACAAAATCATTTCATATAGTGAGTGGTAAGTGCTACAAGAAAAATAAAACAGTGATATTAGAGTATCTGGGGCAGGGGCGGGGGGCTGCAGAGCAGTGCAGGAGAGAAATTAACATGTAAACCAAGACCTAAATTACAGGTAGAAGCCAGACCATTTGAAGATCTAGGGGCTTAAAACTCCAGGCAAGGATATTCGATGAGCTCTAAGGTAAAAATGCTCTTGTAGCATTCAAGGTACAGAAAGATGATAAATGACCAAAACATAGAAAATTATTCAGTCTTACTTGTAATTAAAATAATAATAATAATAAATAGTGAGCTACCTCTTTATTTTCTATCAGATAGTAAAGATGGGGGGAGAACAATAACCAGTGTTTATCCTGCCTTTCCAGATGTCAATTTCTCAGCATGAGAAATTTCAAAACAGTGACACAAAGTAATTCTCCTTTAAGAGTTCATTTTTAAGAAACAGAAAGGCAAAAAGATTTATGTTAAAAGATTCATTATGACATTATTTATTATAGCTAATGTTGGAAACAACATAAATTTCCATCCCTGTTGAAATGTTCAAAGAAAACTATGGTACATCTATACTGGAGAATATTATGCAGCCATATGACATATATGACATATGCAGCCTATGCCATAACGTTCGGTTAGGAAAGCAAGATAAAAAAAAAGGTATCTATGTCTCAGGTAAAAAAAAAAAAAGTTATTCAAACAGACACTGAAGGGAGGAACTGCCAAATCCTGCCTTTAGGATAATGATACTATGGTTCTTTTTTCTTTTTTTGGCTGTTACATTTTTCTAATTTTTTTTACAATGAGCATGTTACATTCACATTTAAAAGAACAAAACAAACTTGAAAATTAGAAAAATCTTATCATACCATTCTTAATTTACCCATACCTATGAATTTGCTATCCATACTCATACCTACACAATCCAATTCTATGTACTGCAATTTCAGAAGTTCCTCCACCATTCAAGGAACTTAATGATCCCAATTTTCTAGACTGAATTTATGATTGGATGTTCAAGTATGTTGGGACTTTTGATAAACAGATGTTTATGTGAAAGGGGCCAGGCTATAGAGGAGTAACTTACTTTAAATAGAAAAAACAAACAAACAAACAAACAAAAACAAAAAAAAGAAAAACAAAACAAACAAACAAACAGGTTATTTCCATGGCTTTAACTTTTAGAATTTGTCCTTAGGTTTTCTGAAAGCTTCCCTGTCTTGTTCCAGGTAGGTAGGTTATTTTGATAAGTATTTTTTTTTTTGATATTCACAATTCCAGGTGCCAACTATAAATTTTAATTACTGTTCAATTGGTGATGAAATACATTTAGAAGTTTAATATGAATAAATCATCTCTTGGTTTTTCTAGGGTAACATAAATGTATATATAACTAAAAAAAATTTTTAAAGAATTGTTAAGAATAGCTTGGATGCTTGGCTGCCTAAGCAGTGTAGTAATGCAGAAAGAACAGAGACTTTGGAATCAAAACAAATCTACGTTTCACTACTTTTCAGCTAAGTACCTTAATTAAACTTGTTAACACCTCTAAACTGCTGCCTTCCCTTTGAAAATGGGGATACCACACCTGTTACTGTGAGAATTAGAACTGATGTATGTAAGAGTTTAGCACATGCCTGAATCAGAGCAAGTATTGAAAAAAATAGTAGCCGAAATCAAAACAAACAAAAGACAAAACTAGATTAAATTTCCCCCATATTTTCCAGCCCTGATTGCAAGCTTCATATTTTAGTTCTATAGCAGGATTTCTCAACCTTGGCACTACTGACATTTTGGGCTGGATAATTCAATCTTTAGCAGCATCCTCGGCTTCGACCTATTAGTATCACTGCTCTAACTGTGAAAATCAAAAATGTCTCCATACCTTGTTAAATGTCCATTGGGGCACAACACTGCCCCCCAGAAAACCACTAATTTACACAGATGATTAAAATTTAGAAACACTTAATAGGGTAAACCAAAACAAGTCACCTCATTTTTCCCAGGCTGCTGAAAGTCAGTGATAAGAGAGGGAAAGGGAAATATTTCATTCCATATAAAGACCCCATTTTCTTTATGAAGGCTCTCTATTGTCAGAGAACTTGACTGCCTCCACTTAAATAGTGGCTGGACGAGTTAGCCTATCCAAGCCTGTTTCCTCACATGATTCGTGCGGATTACGTGCATAATATAAGTGTTTCACGTAGTGTCTGGTTCATAGTAAACACTCAATAAATGCTGCCCATTCTTATTATAATCTAGGTACTCCTTCCAATCCTGGGCTTTAAAGTCCCACCTTTCACCCCTTACCCTCAGTTCCCTACTCCATACATACTCGTATTTCTAGTCGAAACCCTAAATTGGTCCTAAACTCTAAATCGGTCCTTCTTGAGGCAGCTAGCCACAGGGATGTAAGAAAAGTATCTGAGCTGGTAGGAATAGACTTTGCTAATAAATCTGGAAAAATCTTCCCTAACTATGGTTGACTACCACTGACACAGAATATATGTATGTCAATTAGAATCAGGAAGCATGCAGAAAATAATAAGTAAAATTAATTAGACTGAAGAAATAAAAAGAGCACTAACTTGATGTTGATTAGGGCACAACTGCTTTAATTCATGCATTAATTCAGTGTAACAAAAATGAGCAGAATTTCTAAACAGAATGAAACCATTTGAGAAATTTTCTTTAAATTCAAGATATTTTTTATGTTAAAAAGTAGAAATATCTAAAATAATTTATTAAAGACAATTTATAAATGACTACCTATGATGATCATAAGCTATCTAGATGAAATTAAAGTCTAATTTTTGAAAAATTAAAGATTAAGCATAAATCAGAAATCCTTGGAAAATAAAAATAACCAAGAACCTACATAATGGAGTTTCAGAAGAAAAGTCACTACTATGTGAAAGAATGACTGATGACTATGTAGAAATGAATAAAAATTTTATTATATCTCACCTGTAATTTCTGAGTCAAAGAGTCCCTCTGTTCTTGTAGTTCTCGGGCATTATCAATTTCTTGTTTTAATCTTTCTATTTCCTAGAAAATAGTAGAGCAATGTCTTTAACAACAACATTTAAGCAATATTGAGGCAAGAGAAAGCCCCATTTTCCCCTGAAATTACTGTCCTAGTCCTTAAAATGATTTAAAGAACATTCCTTCATACTCACTTTTAGAGAGGTGAATTCATCTTTATAGGCATGTTGTCTAGTACAGAATAATCTTAAGAAACAAACAACTCTAAATTGGTAGCATTACTTAGAAAACAACAAGCTGAACATTTTAAGGTTGCTTCAAGTTTTGTGGATGTAATTCTTCCCAGGATAGTAAATCTTTTCACTGGAAACCAGAGAAAGCAATAGCTTGTAAAATTCATATAACTTCTAATATTTTTCTGTTAATCATAGGAATGTAACTCTCATACAGAAGGCAAGAGGCAGTATCTCAGTCTGATTGCCTCATCATAATAAATAACAACAGAAACAAAGATGGGGAAAACATAAACAAGCTTAGTATCACTTAAGAAAAATTCCATCCTGAAAAAACCTCTACAACCTTACCTTATTCCATAAAGTACCTTGAAATCTGACAAAGACTCTTAATGTTTGTACACATATTTTAGTTAGATTACAGATGAGTGAAAAGTAGCTAATACCTCTTCCTTCACTTTCAGTGTCTCTTCCAGTTCTTGTATTGTCTGATTTAATTCTGTCTTATGAGTATGCACTGCGTTTGCTTGGCTACTAACACATTCAAGCTCAGTCACCTAAAATTAAATGAAAACACAGATTAAATTATATGACAATTTCAAAGGATTTCTTGCTGAAGAGATAATAAGTCTTTGATAGGTGAATAACAAATTTTGAAGCAATATATGAAAATTAATTTGGGAAAATATTAAGACAGGGTTTAATGGATAAATAGATTCTTTAAAGATATGAACTTAAGACAAAAAAAAGAGCAAAAGAAATAACTATGTACATGGCTTGGTCATGAAAAGGCTAGGAAAACTTAAATGATTAGTGACAGTAGAGAACCCTTATAATAAAAGTCTTTAAAAATTTCTTCTGAAAACACATTCAAAATCAGATATAGTCATCTGCCTTCCATCTGTAGCTTTCAAATTAAATTGGGCTTTGAAAACTGGCCTTGCAGAAGTGAGAAATTTTTCAAATACATTTCCAAAATGTAAGAGAATCTGGAAGAAAAGATATGCTTAAAATACAACTTAAATCATTCAATACTAGAATAGTGTCTCTTATAGCAAAAGACAATTCTTCTGTCAATATGAATTTACTGAGGGCCCAAATGACAACATAACTTTTAATGAGAACTTGCTACTTTTTGAGAGAACAGAGAAGAGAAGGGCCTTGTTTCTAAAGGTTATACCACTAGAGAACAGTCAAAATACTCAGAAGTCAACATAAACACACACACAGCTCTTTACACAGATCTTATGCATTTTGACTGACTAGAATACAACAAATTCTAGAATATTAAGGAAACAGCAAATCTCAATCCCTCACATTTTCTGAATATTGAATTAACGTCCACTTTGTCATTCTACCTCTCATATCATTTTCTTCCTTTGTATTCATGTTCTAATAGCCTTGCACAAATCCTTATCATCCAGGCCTAAAAAGCAATGAGCTGCCAGTGGACTTAATTATAATCTTTGTCTATTTTTGTGTCTTCTGCAAACTGCTAATATTCATCTCTCATTGTGTGACTCCCACATTAAAAGCCTTTCAATGGCTCATCTTTTTTTACAGTATCAAATCTAAACCTTCAGGTTCTCCATCCACTCACCCCAAATTACTTAACCACCTCATCTGGCCAAGACATGCAGTATGTATTTCCAAGTAAAAGCAGGCAAGTCTCCTTGTCCTAAGAACAAACCATATTCATACCCACCTTGTTGACTTACCTAGACTGTCTTCTCTTACCTCTGAAAACCATCCAGGTCTTACCAAACCCTCAACTCTCAGCTCAGAATGTACTTTCTCCTATCTGTTAAAGCACTCAAGGGTCTCCTGTCCTCTGGCCCATAAAACTGAACATCTGTTCAAAAATCTTGAGAATTATTTTTTATCGTTTAATATATGTTAGTTTTCTTTGTCCAATTAGATAATAAATTCCTTATGGGGAGTTCTAGTTCTGATAATAATGAAGTAGTTTTTATTGGATTAACTTTCCCACAGATAACAATAGCAAATTATGAGCAAATTTTTAAAATCCACTGTTTGAAGGCCCTGGTTAGTGATCAAATTGGGCAAAAGACTGAAAGAAACATCACATTGGGTGAGATGCATATTTACACATATTTTTGCCTCAAAGCAGGCTGTAGTCTGGCTATGTTGCTTGACTAGGACTCAAGCAAAAACCTGTGCTCATATTTCCGTGTGGAGCCTGAGGATATTGGGTGCCTCAGAATAACTAGAACATCTAGAAACTGAGGGAATTATATAAAAGAAAGCCCCCAAATAAGTATTTAGACTTCCCTCAAATCTTTGGCTGACCCCTGACTAAATACGCACAGGAGTCCAGAGAGAGTGGGAAAAAAGCTGGAAGGCTGAAAAAGCTAAGCTATAGTAGTGCTCACCACAGAAAGGACACTTTGAAGTTTGAGTCCCACCAAACTAGAGGACCTTGGTAAACATCTCAAGCTTCTCACTAAAACCCCAGAAGGGTTATTCCTTAGAGAAAAAGATTTCCCAGGACTAAAGGATTCACCCTAGGATTAAGGGCAGAATTGAAACAAACCAACTAATAAAGCCTAAATCCACTCCTCCACAATTTCAGCATAATTTACAAGTAATTTAATTGCTTGCTGAAACAAAAATCAACACTATTCAGAGGAAGCTAACAGAATCTAAGGGTCCTACAGCATCTCATTTACAATGTCCAAAATACAACTGAAAATGACTAGATGTAAAGAAAAGAGAAAATGCAACCTGTAGCAAAGAAAAAAAAAATCTGTCTATATATAGACATATATAAAAGGTGAAATAATTGTTGCCAGTACATTTGTAGTACAAAAAAAATGCTCAAGGAAGTTATTTAGGCTGAAGGAAAATAATACTTGATGGATATTCAGATCTACAAGAAGGAAGAAGAACACTGGAAATTATAAATGCATAAGTACATCAAAAGATTCTATTTCTTAAATTCCTTACAATTTAATCAACTCTAAAGCAAAAACTCCTTAAGGGCACAGATTACACAAAAAGGAAATATGATATCTCCTCAATGAATATTTATCGGCTTATGAGTTAATTATCATGTTAATTTTTTATTGGTAAAAAATACATAACATAAAATTTATCATCTTAAACATTTTTAAGTGTACAGTCCAGTAATGTAAAGTATATTCAAGTTGTTGTGAAACAGATCTCCAGAATTTTTTCATCTTGCAAAATGGAAACTATACTAATTGAACAACAACTTTCTTCTTCCTCCTCCTAAGTTAACTTTTATACTTAGGAGAGAATGATATTTGTGCAAGTTTCTTACTCTCTCTCTGGTCTCTATTCCATTTCTATCCTTCTTCTCCTGTCATCCTGGTCCTATTACATCCTTCGAATTATGCTCTGGTACTAATCAGCCCATTTCCTATGGTCTGTGGAGTTTACTTCTGTGTTATCCTTTTTAAAAAGGGAAATTAATGGTATCTGCCTCCCATTAGGTGAATGCATATGCTTTGAATTTTAAAAATTCTTTATAAGTAATTGTTTGGGCTTCTAATAGTAATAGTATTGGGATTTCTGATTTTTCTTTTTCTGCCCCATATTTCTAATATTATCGAATTTTATGAAGAAATTCTACTTCTATTTTTCAAATTTTTCTTTCTTTAAAAACAATAAAATAAAAGCATTTTGTTAACTCAGTGAAATTACATGTCAATTTAGTGTCTCGATTTTCACTGGAATTGTACAGAAAGAAGAGAATAACTTACCAAAGATCATACAGCTAATAAGTGACAGAAAAGGAATTTAAAATCATGTCTTTTGATTCCAAAATATTATATATTATTCATTCTCATTAAACTATGGAAAACATCTTTCTTAGCCAGTAAGTCCACATATACTATAACCCACACATATGTTCTGACAACCAACAAAAATCTCCAAAAGGTGTCCCTGTGCTGAATCTACATGTAAATTTCCTCTGATCAAGGAAATCTGTTAGTCATAAATCCCTAGGGACAGCAGCCCCAAACTTACCCGCTTGTGTAGACGTTCTGCTTCCTCTTGATACGCAGCGAGTTGCTGTTTCCATTGTTTCACGTTGGCAGTAGACTCCAACAGGGCTGCGGTAAGTTTGGCATTATTTCCTTTGAGGGTAGCCAGTTCAGCCTCCCAATGTTTGCTGATTGCTGAACTAAAAGAAAAGAAAAGTCTATCCATTACACTGACAGCACTGTTACTTTGAAAGGACAGCAGTACTCAGTTGTATTATTTGGTTTATAGTACATGAATGTTTCAAAGACAACCCCAAAAGAATAAAAACACAAATATTTCACTGAAATGTTCTTAGTGAAGAAAACTTACAAGAGAAGAAATACTAAAAGTACCAAAGTAGCAGGCTTAGTGTGGAATAGTTCCATAGAAGAGTTTCTACCCATTTTCTTTTAAGGAATAAACATTATACCTTGAAAAATATCTATAAACAAAAGCTGTACCTTCTGAAATTACTATTATTTCATCTTATTCAGAATTTTAAAACACACAAAACAAAAAAATTGCTGTAATAAACTAATTTCAGTTCAAGGCTAGACCTAGAAACTGTTCTAATGACTTAATTTGATAGAATTCCAGTATCACTTAAAGAAGAAACTAAAGCAAGAACCTTTTTCCTCATTTAATGTTCTACTTGATAAGTTACCAAAAGTTAAGTATCTCAACCAAAACAACTTTCTATTACAAACACAACTTTATTAGTTGTGGAGACCCCTCTCTTGATAATTCCTTTTTTAACTTTCCAATGAAGAAAATAATGATCTCATTTGAAAGGAAAAGGTGGTTTCTCTTCCTAATTATTGAACAGTTTATTCCTATTAGTGAAGTCTGCTAACCTTATCCCATCACTAACTAGTGATGATAGCTTTCTTTAATTGGCATTTTGGTTTTTGATAAGTCTGCATCACAGAGGTAATGCTTTCAAAGACTGTTAATTTTATAGTAATTTTAATATGTTATAAAAAAGAAGGCATAATTTCTATCATCAAAATTTCTAAAGCTTATCATATCAGCATTACAAGATCATTTCTATGGTGTTTGCCAAAAATGCATAACTCTCATTATAACTATAGAAAACATCCTATAAACCCAAACTGAGGGACATTCTACAAAATAACTGATTGGTATACTTCAGAAGTGTCAAGAAGAGGCAAGACTGAGAAAAAAATGGAGGAGACTAAGAAGAAATCATTTTAATCCAATGTGAGATCGAGGACAGTTTCCTAGAACAAAATAAGGACATGGGTGAAAACTGATACTGTAGTTTAGTTAAGACTATTGTATCAATGTTAATTTTCTGGTTTTGATCATTATATTATGGTTATGTACGATGTTAACATTAAGGGAAACTGGGTGAGAGGTATATGGAAGTTTTCTGCACAGTTTTTGTAATTTTTATATCTTTAAAATTATTTAAAATGAAAAGTTAAAAGATTTTATAAGGTTTACTAAGAAAATTTCATCAAAACAGAAAAGAACAGAATCAAATAAGTTAAGCTATTAATTTAACAACCCATTTCTATCCTTAAAAATAAACTTCTTTTTATTTCTTCTTTTGTGAAATGGTTTTCCAGATTCAGATTTTCTGAGCAAAGCATGCACCAATTCACCTGCTCTAACTGAATTACAGATTTTTTAAAACCACTACAGAGATGAGTTTTATTTAAATAGACCTTTCAATCTGACTATGAAAATCTTATTGAACTAACTTAAACACTTGATATATGCAAATATCTTTAACCTCTTAAAAATTAAAAAAATGATTTTGAATATTTATAAAATTCATTTGTCAAAAGTTTCATAATTATAAAGACTACCTCATGTCTTCATAGTAGGAAGAACAAAAAAGAGGGTGTTTTGCATTTTATTTCTCTGGGTTTTATTTTATAGGATATAGGGGGCAAAGTACATCAAGAATTTGAGAACTCAGCCTAGTTTGTGATTATTTAAATAATTATTTCTGTGATTTTAAATTTGGCTGTCAACCACTTTGATCTCAGTTCTTCATATGCCAAATAAACAAGTTAGTCAAGATCTACACTGTCCAAATGTTAGCCATTAGCGGCATGTAGCCATTTAAATTGCTCAAAATTAAATAAAGTTTATTCAGCTTCTCAGTCTCAGTAGGCACATTTTAAATACTCAGTACCTACACATGGCTAGTAGCTACCATACTAGACAGCAAAGATATAGAACTTCTCATCATATCAGAAAGTTCTCCTGGATAGTGCTATCCTAGATGAGCTCTACATTTTGGACAGATTTTTCAATTCTATGTGTTACAGACTGAATTGTCATACCTCCCCACCCCCAAAATTAATATATTGAATTCTTAACTCTCAGTACCTTAGAATATGATTATATTTGGAAATAAGGCCTTAAAAGAGGTAATTGAGGTTAAATGGGGTCACTAGGGTTGTCCCTAATCCAATGACTGGTGTCCTGATCGGAAAAGGAGATTAGAATACAGGTATGCACAGAGGAAGATCATGTGAAGACACCAGAAGAAGACGGCATCTGCAAGCCAAGGAGAGGTCTCAGAATGAACAGCCATATCAATAACTTGATCTCAGATTTCTAGCCTCCAAAACTATATGAAAATTAATTTCTATTGGTTAAGTCACCCAGTCTACATATTTAAGGCAGTCTTAACAAACAAACTAATACAAACAACTTTTAAAAAATCCACACTGTAATGTATCTGTGATATTGTGATTTATAATACATGTTCTGGTCTTTGTCTATGGTTCCTGGCTCACAGCTCCCAAAACCCGTAGAATTTCCTAACCAATAAGAGCAATGGAAACATCTTGTGTGGTAGTATTTAGTCTGTTGTCCTTAGTCCCAGAAACTGCTTCAGAGCAATAAAGGTGACATGTGTGTCTTGTTCCTCATAACAAGACCCTTTCAAACCACAGCTGAATTTATGTTAATGACTTTTGGAAATCCCCAAAAGATGGGGGGGCTGGTTGCCAGGGGAACCAACCATGAACAGAGGGTTGGGATTTTCAGTGCCACCCCCATGATTTCTGGAGAGGGTTTGGAGGTTGACTCAATCACCAATGGCCAATGATTTAATCAAGCATGTCTTTGTAATGAAGCCTCCAGGAAAACCTAAGAAGATGGAGTTTGCATAGCTTCCATGTTGGTGAACCAGAATGCATCCATGTGCCACAGTGCTGGGCCCCAAACTCCACAAGGACAGAAGCTCCGGAATCCCTGGATGAGGGGAGAGAGTCCACCACTGTGAAAAAGCCACAAGATGTGACCAGGAGCCTTCTTCTCTGTGGGAAAAAAGCCCTATGCCACTGGGAGAGGGGCAGCAAATCTTGTCACTCCCACCTCGAACACTCCTAGATGAAGACCTGTTATTGCTAGGGGGAAAAAAAGTAGAAGAATAAAACTCTATAACCCTGCAGGAGGAACAGAAAACACAGTCCTAGTCTCAGACTGTTAAGAGTTCCCTAACTTTGGGGAATGGGGTAGGAAACTCCTGCACAAGACCTTCAGCTACAAAGGCTGAATTTAGATGCTACTGGAGGAGGAACAGGATGACTAAGAGAGCCCCATCTCTGAGATCCTGGGACACAGGGCCTGCCCAAGATTGCAGGTGGATATGAACAACAAAGCACCCTACCCTGTCTCCTACTACGAAACTGACAGCAGCCTTCTACTGGGGGAAGCTCAAGAATCTAGAGATAGAACCCATCAGAGGCAAAGGTACACAGAAAAGACCAAATGCTGAGGGTGGAGCAGAGATAATGAGTAAACCATCTAGCAATCCAACCCCAAATCTAAGCAAAAGGTACTGCCAGAGGTGTTTAAAACCAGTGAGGTACTCATGGTAACCATAGCAATAACAAATTCACCCCTGAGTAGACTGGCTTAATCCCCATACTATTAGCCTGGCAGAAAAACAATATTTACTCCATTTCCAGGAGTAAATATTATTTACTTTTACTGTAAATACTATTTACCTTTATTTAATGCTTTATGTTTGACATCCAGTAAAAAAAATTACAAGACATACCAAAAAGCAAGGAAAAACATCTATTGTCAAGAAAGAAAGCCATTGATACTCAGAGAGGACCCTGATGCCAGATATCTCAAACAAGGAATGTAAAATAACTATGTTAAAAGCATAAATGGAAAAGGACACATGCATCTCCAGATTGTAAATTTCAGCAAAGATGGAAACTGGAATGCTAGAAATGAAATGCTAGAAATAAAAACCATGATAACAAAGATGAATAATGCTCCTTGACAAGCTCATTATTAGACTTGACATAGCTTCATAAAAATCGGGGATTTTGAAATCAGACCAATAGCAATTAGCTAAACTGAGACACAAAGAGGAAAAATAAAAGAAAAAGGGTATCCAAGACGTGGGGCAGCAGTATCGAACTGTCTAACAAATGTATAACTGGACTCCTAGGAGAAGAGAGAAGAGGGCAGAAGAAACATTTAAAGAGCTAATGACTGAGAATTTTCAAAAAATAATAAAAGACATTAAAACGCAGATCCAAAAAGCTCAAAAAATATTACATATGGGAACAAAAATAATAATTATAATAGGTTTCCCACCACAAACTAAACTTTCCAGAAGAGATTGGAGTGACAGTGCTGAAAGAAAACAAATCTCAACCCACAATTCTACATGCAATAAAAATACCTCTCTAAATGAAAGTGAAATAAAAAATTTTTCAGACAGATAAAAGCTGAGAAAATTCATTACAAGCAGACACTTATTATAAGGAATATTAAAGGAAATTATTAAGGTGAAAGAATATGATACCAAATAGAAACTTAGATCTCCACAAAGAAATGAAATTATCTGGAAATTATTACAATAATTATAAAAGGTCCAAGGCAATTCAAAGGAGAAAAAAGTCTTTTTAAACAAATAGTGTTCAAACAACTGAATAACCATATATAGAAAAAAGAATCTTGACTCATATCTCATATCCTGTACAAAAATTAACTCAAAATATAAAACTATAAAACTTCTATAAGAAATCATAGAAGAAAATCTTTGTGACCTTTGGTTAGGCACATATTTCTTAGATATACAATATAAAAAGAAAGATCCACTAAAAAAACTGATAAAAGGGATTTCATAAGAGTGAAAAACTTCTCTTTGAA